AACATGTTGAGGTTAATTGGTGATTCTAAATTGTCCGTAGGTGTGAATGTGAGTGTGCTTGGTTGTCTGTCTCTAAGTGTGGCCCTGCGATGGACTGGCGACCTGTCCAGGGTGTCCCCTGCCTTCGCCCTTAGTCGGCTGGCTCCAACCCCCCGCGACCCTAATGAGGATTCAGCGGTGTATAGATAATGGATGGATGGATGGATGGAACACTGATTGGTTGCAGTTCAGGCAGCTTCGAAACTCCTGCACTGTTGTGATCAGGAAAGCCAGCACTGATCATTTCCTTACCCAAACCTCAGAGAACTTGAACAATCCTTAAAATTTGAAAAACTATCAAATATTTGGATGAGAGTCATACTGTTGCTGAGTTGCCACCATGCATTGTGAAAGATTTGATCCAAGTTTCTGATAAGGCAGAAATGTTGAGTTTTAATGAACATTTAATAGCCTCAGGTTGCTTATTTGATTCTGTTAACACAACTCACAATTGTCCTGGTACATCTTGATCTGATGGTTATCCCTTACCACCTTGCCAGACCAGTCCTTTAGTTTTACTCCTTTCTCTGTCTTTGAGGTGCATAAAGCCCTGAGGCTCTTGAACACGTTATGAACTTATCTATCAGTAGCTCCGCTCACCCCACAGATAAAGTGTAGATAAAATGAATGCAGAACTTGCTGGAAATCACAATATGGGTGGAAATGAGCTGCTTGGCAGAGGTCTGCGCCCTCAGAGTGCTCTTCTAGTTAGCCATGTTTTACAAACTCGCCCCATTTATGAACAGCACACAAGCTCAAATTTGGCTGCATAATATTTCTTTCATTTATTTGAAAAAAAATTTATTTATTTTTTATGTTTCTCGCTGAACTTGCAGCAGTGTCTTCCTTTTCTATACTGGAAAAGTAAATCAGTTATATTTACAGCAGACCAATAAGCTGGAATTGTTTATGCTGCACTTGTACTTTTATGTATTTATTTTATTTTGTTTATTTGATATTGAGAATGATGCAGCAGTATTCCTGTTACATTTGTTTATATTGTGCATTCAATTTGATTTACTGAGCTGCTAACAGCTTTTTGGTTTATTACAATAAACAAATGTTTTGGATTAGTTATCCATCCATCCATTATCTATACACCGCTTAATCCTCACTAGGGTCGCAGGGGGGCTGGAGCCTATCCCAGCCGACTTAGGGCGAAGGCAGGGGACACCCTGGACAGGTCGCCAGTCCATCGCAGGGCCACACTTAGAGACAGACAACCAAGCACACTCACATTCACACCTACGGACAATTTAGTTTTGGACTGTGTGGGAGGAGCCAGAGAATCCGGAGAGAACCCACACTGCACGGGGAGAACATGCAAACTCCACGCAGAAAGATTCCGGTGCCCCCACCGGGGTGCGAACCGGCAACCTTCTTGCTGCGAGGCAACAGTGCTACCAACTGTGCCACCCTGCAGCCCTGGATTAATTATGAGCAGGTTTTTTTTTATTTTCTTTATTTTTCCCCTTAACTGAGAACTGAACCGTACCGAACCGAGCCGTGACTTTCGTACTGAGGTACGTACCGAACCGCGATTTTTGTATACCGTTACAACCCTAGTTATGAGTGTGAAGTCTGTGTGGATGCTGTTGTGACCTTGTCTGTCTGTCAATTGTACTGCTGCCTGTCTTGGCCAGGACACTCTTGTAAGAGAGATTTTTAATCTCAATGAGCCTTTTCCTCGTTAAATAAAGGTTAAATTTAAAAAAAATAAAAATAAAAATAGAAATAAGGCTTGCAATGTTCAGGGAACACAGTTTTAGATAACCTGCAGTTACATCATTCAGCAGTCACATATGACCTAAAGTTAAACACAGTTTTCATGTTTTGTCTTTCAGTCTCTTCAGTCTGAGTACATCCAGTACTAAAACTACAGGTCTGGCCTGAGGACACATTGCCCTTCTGATCACCCAGAGCTGTTCCTGCTGGGTGCTCCAAGGGAAGCTAATAAATCAGATAGAGTTTCTCTATCAGGACTAAAGACACTCTGAGATGGTACCAGCTGCTCTCTGTTCATATTGTATGTAAATGAACTTTTTGTAAATATGATGTTTGGCTGAAAATATATTGACATGAAATAGACATATTTTATATTTCTTAAATGTGACAGAAGACATATTTTTGTTTTAACAATATTAATATTTTAGCTTTTTGTTTTTTTGTGGTTTTTTGGGGGGGGATAAATAGGGGGTTATTTGACACAAAATTTTTGTCCTGTTTTAGATACTTTAGATTTATTTTAGATTCTTTTGTTGATGTGACTGATCAGTGTTGTTTTTTTCTAGTCAACAGCAATAACAATTGAAAAAGAAGGGACGCAAAAACAGAATGTTAGCAACTAATCTCAGGGGATTAAAGTGCATATGTGCGTGAATGTGAGTGTGTGTCGATGTCCACTCGGCCTTACAGAAGCATTTGCAGACTAGATTTTGTAAAGTCGTCATAGCAAAGACAACAAAAACTGCCTTGTCTCCTTGGATCAGCACTATAAACTGTATATAAAGGTGGACGACCCATCACCACCTCCTCCCATCGTCCAAAAGTGAAGCCAAAATATGGATACTGCTATCTTATATCTTATATCTGATAACGGCATGTACAACTAGAGTCTGCGCAGTAGTGACCACGGGGCTGAGACAAGGAGGTCCCGCCTGTCTTGGACTGCTGGGGACACTCTTTAGGCACTTGTTAATTCCTACATAACAATGATAACTGCTTGCAGTCTGGCTAGCTAGCTAACTAACTATATATCAACTACTTTTCCCCATAGATTGCTCCTGGAATTAGTGATTGTGCAGGAAGCAGGTCCTTGAATACTTCTTCTTCAACCATGGGTCTCTACCAAACACACTCTAGTTGCAAATGACATCACTCGCACAAGATGGCAGTGCCAACTTCTACCATGTTTGGCATTACTTTTGTGAAGCTGTGATGTTTTATATGTGCGATCTCTGGAGGTGAAACCATTAGATGCCTCACAAATAAGCCAATTAACAGAAAATGAACTGGAAACAATTGTAATAACTAATTAGTAATTTTGTAATTACTTCTGCTCTAAATTCACTGGTTCAAACTCCTTTAATGTAAATATTTTGTTATCAGATAAGACAAGCTATCTGAAAAAGCTTATTTGGACTTTGGGAACTGCAATTGTACCATTTTTTTTTTTTGCATTTAAAAACAAAACTCATCAAATTAATCAGTGATAAAAATTCTAATTAGTTGCAGCCGAGTCTTGCCTGAGCATTGGCCCTGCTGTAGAAACAAAAATCGCACTGTGCTGGATAAATCTATAACGCTGAAAGAGTTCCTGCATCAGTTCCTGGGGTAAAGGTCCTGAAACAATACAAACTGAACAGGTCATGTAGCACCCCTGAAAATGTTGGTATTACTGTGTTTGCTGGGGGTTTTCCTTGTCATCTTGCTGCAGTGATGTACAGGTGTAGTCCAGGACAGCGACATCACTGCTAGGTGTGGTTACAGGTAATGCAGCCAGAAAGGGCAGATGCTTTGCTTTTCAGCCTGGTATTGAGTTACTCTTCCAACCTTAACTAAAGATGTTCTGTAAGGGATGCACAATGTCAGTTAGGAACAAGGCTTCTACCTCATCTGATGACATCTTCACAATGTTTTCTTTAGTTTACAGTCATATTGAATGTTAGAAATAACTTGACATGTTACAAACATGTCAGACACTCCAGAGCCTTTAAGACATTCATGAGGAAATGGCAGACACTTAAGCTGCTTAGATCAAAACAGAAGAAAACACTTCTTTACCCTTAAGCAAAATATTTTCAAAAGATGTTTGAATGTTGACTCTTGTCACATGGTTATTTACGTATACAGGATCCTAAGTGCCTTGAACATTTTACTGCTTGTTATGTTTGAATATTTCGATGATTTGATAGAATTTATTATGTTTAGTACATAAGGAAGTCTATTTTCAGCTTACAGCAACAAAAGCTTTTATTTTGGCGTAACTTATTCTTGTTATGAAGATGTTTAAATGAAGTTGTTATTTCACTCATGAATGTCCTGATCCTGTATTTAATGTAACAAAGGCTTTTATTGAGAGAGAAGTTAAAAAAATAATGTAGATATTTTTTCTTTTAAATGACAGCAGAATTTCTGCCAGGGCAATAAAATACGTATTCTTCAGGATTTTTTTGGATCCATGTGCTTTGATATGATAAGTCAAGGTGGATGCACTTCAGTCAAAACCCACAAGGCTAAGACATAGCCCCAACTGTGATTCAAAGCAAACACACGTCCAAGCTATAATACTCAAGAAAGTGGCCTAATGAAATGTGAAATAACACCAGACACAAAAATTAAATTTTGGGGTCTTTTATTCCTCAACTACTCAAAAGAATAGGAGCCATGTTAATATAGATTTGGAGTGATTTCTTAGTATGTTATAATGAATACAGGGAATGCACTGGAACGCTAGACTTCAGTGCATTTAACATTCCATCCCATAGACATTTAAATCATAGTACATAACAATTTGAAGCTAAGTTAAAAAATCATTTGCCTCTTAGTGCCCAACAATGTAAAGCTCAGTGCATAAACACTTTAAGGCTCAGTGTATAAACACTCTAAAGTTCAGTGCATAAACAACTGTAGTGGTTGTCCCTAATGAAACAAAAGAAAAAACAAAATACACACAACCACACAGTTAATACATCACAGGTTATCATTAACAACAACACGTAATAAAATTAATCAGAATACAATTCCCTATACTCACAGTAGTCTTAGCTGGACTTAGCTAGTAGCTGAGCTTCTTCACATGCCCACGTCGCGGCATGACATAAAGCACAGTTTTCCTCCTGCAAACTTAGAAATATTTCAGTCCTGAGTATATTCACAAACAGACACAGTTACAACATATTTACAGGGTATGAACTTAACACGTTAACAGTCTTCTTCACTTCACCACCCTCTCACCGACACAAACGATACACAGCGATAAACGTCGGCATAACGACATCGCCGTCGGCGTATAAACAGTACAATTTACGTTCATACAAAGTCAACCCAGGATGCACATGTAACTCGCTGTGCAAATAAAGTACTTTTAGGGCATATTTACCCGTTTTTGTCAGCGAAATATCACCACACTAGTACTCAGAAATTCCCGCGACCCAGCGGCGACTCGGCGTTCTCCTCTCTCCCAGTTTTCCCTGCATTCCTTCATGACCGACTTCTGACTGACGGATTTGTACACCCGCACAGGGCGCAGCGCCTTCTTGTGGCATAATTGTTAATTGTCAGTTTTCCACTTGGCAACACTAAAGGTCAAAACTACAAGATTAAGTCATACAAATACGAATGAGTTCATTCTTAACAAACATTAGTCAGAGTCAAAACCCATGACCCCAAACCAAGTCAAGGCTGAGATACAACTACCACAGTCTAGAGCAGGGGTCTCAGACTCAAACTCGATATTTTGTGGCCCTCTACTTGACATCACAGTTTAGTGTTTGTGCGGCCCACATGTTTTTCTCACATGCACCTGCGCGAGTTGTTGCCCTGGGCGTGTTCTATTTTTTTTATCAGTTGTGGGCTACTATAGCTCAGGCTCGTGACAGCAACGCGAATTAGCAAAGTTAGTCACTTGAAACGTGATTCGGGAGTGTCACGGAGTGGAGGGAAAATATATCCTGTCACCCAGTGGAAATGGTTTTTTGTTGGGGTTTTTTTGGTTTGTTTTTTTCTGTCTGTGTGAAAAGCTCCTCTCCACCATGAACTTTAATAAGTCAAAGTACAGGTCCAAACTTACTGATGAGCATCTTCAAGCCATACCAAGGTTCTCAAATGCTTCCTCTCTCAAGCCAAATGTGGCTCAGCTGTGGAAGCTGTGGAAGCGCTGCCAGGTCTCAGGTAGCAAGGAGTAGGTAGGAGAAGCCTATGTTCTGAAGAATGTTCATGTTTTGAATTGTTATTAATAAAGATTGAGAAGACTAGAAGTTGTACTTTTTTGGAAGACTGGAAACCCTTCTTTTGTGGAATAGGTGATGCGGCCCAGCCTCCCCCAGACTCCATCTCCAGTGGCCCCCAAGTTGAGTTTGAGACCCCTGGTCTAGAGATTACAAACTCACTGAATCCTTCTGAAAATCTTTTGAGCTGTTGACTGAGACTTTAAATTCAGCAGTTCAGAGGACAGAAATGTTTGTTAAAGAACAAGCTGCACCTTTCAGTCCAGTCATATGACGCCATGTCATCCAGCAGCACAATCCAGTCGTCATCAGACTGATCAATACGAGGTCACAGAGGCCATTAGTCACTCAGTCTGTTATCGCTCACTCTCTAGATTAATCAACCACACACAAGGCAGTCACCCAGATACAAGTCCATGCTGAGCTGTGACTCCATCACATGGCATATTCAGTCTGCTGCTTCATCTCTTCACTCTGACAGATATTTAGAAACTAGAATTTGTCATGAGTGAAAAATCATTGGAGTGGATCTTTTGCCGTCTTCAAACACAAACAAGAAACAAGAAAGAAAGCCACGTTCAAGCTGTGGATCCTAAAGTTTGCGTCCTTCCCTGTCATCTTTGACCCAGCCTTGCTGAAGTGAGTGTAACCTGGATTCAAACCTGAGAGATCTGGGAAAATAAAATAAAACCTGTTATTCCTCAAGTAGATTCAGTTTAACTTTACTGCCCTACTTCTTTTTACTCTAATAACTTCCTGCATTGTTTGTTTACTGCTCTCTTTTACTTTTTATATTCAGCTGATGTTTCTCCTTGCCCTTTTTCTCTTGTGCTGTCTGATGTCATGTCATTTAATAGATATTATAAATGGGCATTTAACAATAATGTTGATTAAGAGAAACTCATCACCTTCATTAATGAGTAAGGAGAGAAGGAAAACAGACAGACAGTGAGAAATAAACAGAAAGAAGTATAGAGTTCAGAAAGAAATGGAGAGAAGGAAAAGGCAAAAAATGAATAAACCGAATGTTCTCAAGCCAAAGAGAGAAAACTAAATGTTAAAAGTGAAAGAAATGCTTTGCATTGCATTTGCAGGGAAGGAAAAGGGATTGAATGAAAAAAGACGACAAACAGAAAAGGCAAGAGTTAAAGGGGAAACAGATTAAACAAAGGGAAAGGCCACAGGAAGAATATAGGTGAGAAAAAAGGAAAGACGAAAAATACAGAAAGTAAGAAAAGAAAATAATTGGGTAAACTGGAAGAAATAATAGGAGGGAAAAGATACGACAAAGGGAAGCAAAAACATGACGAAAGGCAGGAAAATTCAGAATGAAAGTGATAGAGAAACGCTTTACAGTGCAGGTTGAGACAGGTTGAAGTGTCCCATGTGTCCTGTGGAGGGCGCTGCAGACTGTCAGACAGCCAGACATAAAGGGCTGCAGCATCAGACTGGTTTGTTTCTTCAAAGGGGTATTTGGTTCCTTAGAGGTGGGTTCATAGACCATCTGTGTTTCATGTGTCGAGGTGATTTTCTGCCTCAGACACTGAAACAGCAACACAAAGGAGACGCTTCCACTCATTCATCAGTGAGGTCGAACTCTGAGCAGTGAAGATGGATTTGTTGTTTGTCTGCAGGAGCTTTATTCAGCTAATCTCAGGTAAGATTCATGTCATGTCTCTATTTTCTTTAGGTGTTTTATTAAATTTACTGTTTTTCATTTAAAAACCATGTTATATGATGCAATTGTCTGTTAATGAACACGACAGAAATGTGTATATTATTGCATTATTAATATTCATAGAATAGAAACAGAATAAAGGCACATATACATGAGATGAAGAAAGAGGGAAATTGAAATCCACATTTGTCTAGTGAAGATAACATGGAGTAGTTCATATAAAACAGATTTCTGTTTTTAGAGTGCAAGGGAGGAATTAGGTGCGTGAGCTTTCAGAAGATGGTGGATTCTCAGAACCCATCTGCCAACTGTCTGCCTCAAACAAAAAGCTGAGTGTGCCCACCTACTGTTGTGAGCTTTAGCATTCTGCCCTGTGGGTTTGGATTCTATTGATAATTGTCATTACTAAGCAATGTCAGGTGACTTCACAAAGGCTGAGAACTCAGATTTTTGAAAAACATGTTTGACTTGTCAGTTCTCACAATTTTCTTGTATGTTGATTCTGTTGTTGATTGTTTTTTTAATTTGCTTTCATGGTCTTACACAGAGCTGCAGTTAAAAGTTGACTGTTTTATTAGTCAATCTGCAGAAAATTCGAATTACATTTTAAATCTTTTTTCTAAATTTTGAGTATAGGTTGTTAATTTTTAAGCAAAAACATTTTCTGATTTTCTATCACAAACTAAACAAACTAAATCTCTCTCACAAAACCATACATTTGAAGATGAATTCTGGACTCGGCTCGTCTGACAAGTGTTAAAAAAATATTTTCAGATTTTTAATCAACCAAATAATTAGTTGATTAATCCAAACAGGAATTGGTAGGACCATTTGTAATGAACCCCTGATGAATCGCCACCTTATCATGTTGGAGGGGTTTGAGTGTCCCTGTGATCCTGGGAGCTACGTTGTCTGGGGCATTAGCCCCTGGTAGGGTCTCCCAAGGCAAATTGGTTCTGGAGGAGGGACCAGACAAAGAGCAATTCAGAAGACCTCGATGAAGACCAGGAAATATATATATATATATATATATATATACATATATATTTCCTGGTCTTCACTCTGTAAACACGTCCTCTGCTGAGAGGGCAGAGCCTGGAGACTCGGGGGTTGCTGCATCCATACCCATGTTCGAGGTCACCGAGGTAGTTAAGAAGCTATTCGGTGGCAAAGCGCCAGGTGTGGACGAGATTCGCCCTGAGATGCTGAAGGCTCTGGACATTGTTGTACTGTCATGGCTGACATGTCTCTTCAGTGTTGCGTGGGAATCGGGTACGGTGCCTGTGGAGTGGCAGACCGGGGCGGTGGTTCCCATTTTCAAAAAGGGGGACCGGAGAGTGTGTTCCAATTATTGGGGTATCACACTTTTCAACCTCCCCGGGAAAATCTACTCTAGGGTGCTGAAAAGGAGGCTCCGACCAGTTGTCGAACCTCGGCTTCAGGAGGAGCAATGCGGATTCCGTCCTGGCCGTGGAACAGTGGACCGGCTCTTCAGCCTTTGCTGAGCTCCTGAGGGGGGGATGGGATCCGCCGATGGCTACTAGCCCAGCAGCTGAGGGACCTCCTCCACCTCCAGTGACAACTGGGGGGCTAACACCACCGACGGAACTAAGTGGGGACGCGCCGACAGCTACTAGCCTAGCTCAAACAAACTACAGATTTTTATAACCTGGAGCAACTTATCGAAAGTCGACTAGAATAACTTCAACTTCTCAGACAAGAATAGATCTTCTGTTCTCAAATAAGCCTGACAGAACATCAAAGACCTTTAATTTTCTAACTAGTCTATCAGATCATAATAGCATATTATTTGCAAGAAAGCTGAAAAAGAAGAGGTACTTAATTTCACACACTGCCCCTTCATTAAACATTATACCTAGGAGTCAATCAGCAAACCTCAGCGAAGCCTTAAAATCTGTAGACTGGGAGGAAACATTATCTTCAAACAGTAGAAATATCAGCAGTAAATCATTTGTAGACAAATTCAAAGAGGTGATGTCCTCGTTTGCTAGCAGGGCAAGGTATAGGAGCAAGAAGGAAAAGAACCTACCAAGGTTGAACCAAAACTGCAGAAATGTATTGAAATCAAGGGACGCACTTCTCAAGAAATATCTGAAGTCAGGATTGCCAACTGGTAGGTTGAATTATACACATGAACGCAACAAAGCCGTACAAACTCTAAGGAGAGCCAAAGCAAACTTTTTTATTTCCATCATAGAAAGTACCAAAGGTAGCGGGAAAAAAAACATGGAAAATTTTAAATAAACTACTAGGTAAACAAGATAAACAGGAGACTAAAACCCCTGAACTAGTAGTGAACAACACCCTGGTCAAGGACCCTATGGCAGCGGCAACTCATTTTAATAATTATTTCATAGATAGTGTATCTGAAATCACAAGTGCATTCACTGCATCTTCCATAATACCTCGTCCCTTAAAGGACAATCAGCCTACTTTCCAGCTACAAAGTATAGCAGAGACTGAAGTAACAAAGATCATTTCAGCTCTTAAAAGCTCCAAAGCTCAGGATTTCCATGTGGATCGACACTAACTTTGTTAAAAGCCATGCAAATGCACTTGTACGACACACCACTCTTATCATCAATAAGTCTATCAGCCAAAAAGCAGTTCTTTAAAAGTGAGTCTAAGACACAAGCAGCCAACTATCGGCCAATCAGCATCCTCCCAATAGTCTCAAAGGTTGCTGAGAAGTAGATAGCAAATCAAGTTATCAGACATCTTGACAAAGGCAGCACCCCACTACATCAAATGCAATTTGGCTTCTGGGCTAACCATTCTACAGAGACAGTGAACTCTTTTTTTCACTGAAAAGGTAAAGTCTTTACTGGACAAGGATCCCTGTGTAGGAGCTGTGCTTATAGATCTGAAGAAGCCGTTTAACACCGTAAACCATCAAATCCTATTGACAAAGCTCACATATTTCAATTTTTCTGCAGATGGTATATCATGGTTTGAATCTTACTTCTCTCATAGAACACAATGTGTAACAGTTAATGGTGTCAAATCCCCCTATCTCCGCTGTTATGCCGGAGTACCTCAGGGCTCTATCCTAGGTCCTTTATTATTTTCATTATACAGTAATGATCTCCCAGACGTCTGTCCGGACCTTAATGTGCTGATGCATGCGGATGACCCGGTGATCTTCACTCAGGGACAGGAAGCAGTGACAGTTGCTGCAAACCTCTCAAATGCCTTATCCAAGATACAAGACTGGTTAAGACTGAACTGTCTCATGCTTAACACCAAAAAAACTGTTTTTATGATGTTCACCAAAAAAACAGTTAAGTATATCACTGAAAAATCTGACTGTGGAAGACTCACCAAGCGACCAGTGACACAAAGCAGATCCTCTGTGTTCTTAGATGGGAAAGAATTGGAGATGGTAACTCACTTGAAGTACCTTGAGATTGTATTGGACTCCAACCTCAATTTTAAGAAACACATCAAAAAGGTAACCAATATAATAAAATTCAACCTACAAAACTTCAAACAAATCCGGCCCTTCATAACAACAAAAGCTGCTCTATCTTACCTCCACTGCATGATTCTTTCTCACATCGAATACTGCTTCCCAGCCTGGTCGTTTGCTAGTGTCACTGCTCTGAAACCCATTGAGCAGTTTTATAAAAAACCATCAAGGTGCTGGACAAAAAACCTCAGTCATTTCATCACTGTGCAGTCCTAAAGACATATCAATTTTTAAACTTTGAGAATTTTAAATTGTTTAAAAGTGCGTGCTTAATCTACAAGTCTGTAAATGGCATGGCCGCCCGCCCCTTAGGGATTTTATCAAAAAGAAAAGCAGTATCACAAATACAAGGTCAGCCACCAGGGGTGACTGCGAAGTACAGTTTAGAAAGTCCTCCTTTGTACAGCATGTGCTATCTATTAAAAGTTGTACAAACTGGAATATCTTACCTATAGCTGTCAGAGAAAGCTCCACCTTCATGTGTGTGGGATACTGGATGGAAATTAGCCTTGTGCTAAATCCTGTGTATTTACTACAACTTGAGACTGTATGTACATTAACACGCACTGTCCCGTCTAAATAAACAAATAAAAAATATTATTAGAGCTTGGTCCAGGAGTTGTGCTGCATGTTCAGACAGGAAAGGTCTGATCTTCCTGATGTTGTATTTATTTGATGACATTAAACAGAAGAAGAATCACATCAGCTGCCTGACGTGTTTCCACCCAAGTGGACAGGGATGCAGCTAGAAGTAGTTTTAAAGTTCATGGCCCTTGAAAGCAGCATCTTTGACCGCTGACAGGTTAAAGGACCGCTGGCGGCTCCAGGGCCCTATCAGTCAATAATCTTTCCTCCAAAAATACCAACTTTAAACAGACAAAGTGTGGGAGATAAATCTCAACACAACAACTTGCTTGTTTTTAAACTCAAGCTGCATCTGTTGATTATCATATGTTTATCTGTTGATTCTTTCATTGATTAATTCATCATCAGCTTCGTGTATAAATGTCAGGAATCTGTGAAAAATGTCGAAAAGAACTTACTGTCTTACTGTGTCTGAAACCCACAGAGGTTCAGTTTACTTATAGAAAGCAGAAAAACACAAACTGATATTTTTGAGAAACTTTTTCAAATAGTTGCTAATAACCTTTCTTGCCATCAACTAATTGACTAACTGGCCTGTTGTTTGGACTTTACTTTCATTTGCTTTAATGACACAAAACCTCAAGCTGCATAGACTCCAGCAGTTTGTACAGACCTGATAATCCATGTTAACCCAGCATGATCTGACAGTGTTCCAAAGGACTTTCTGTGATGTCAGGAATGTTTGTCTTTCTTAGTCTTTGAGTGTCTCATAAATGTTCAGTGGGGTTGAGGTCAGGTGACTTTGGAGGAAAGTCCATGACAATCAGTACTCCTTGATCTTCTTTGGCCTTTAAGTCAGTGCTTTGAGGGGTGTGTGTGTGTGTGTGTGTGTGTGTGTGTGTGTGTGTGTGTGTGGGTGTTTGGGTTCTTGTTTGGGTTCTTGTTTGGGTTCATGCTGCAGTAAGAATGCTTCTCCACAAAGACCTAGGGTTTGGTCTGAGCTTGCCATTCGGGAGGTGCGCAACTCCAGAGAAGCAAACCCTCAGGGCTTGAATCTTCCCAGCATCATGTTTCATGGTCAGTGTGATCCACTGTGGTGTCATTCTCTTTTATAATGTCAGCGTGTTTGACTGTCTGTCTCTTTGTGTTGACCCTGCGATAAAGTGGCAACCTGTTCAGGATGTAGTCTGCCTCTTGGCCACTGTGGGCTGGGACAGACTCAAGCCCCTCGTGCCCCCTGCAGGGTAAAGTGGGTATAACTTATAGATGGCCGCATCTGTGATCAAGTTGCCATTCTATCTCTGTGAACAAAGCTTGAATTGCTTTGTATGATAGCTTTTATTGATCTTCTGGTGGTGAGCTCAGTTTGTTCTGCCTGATGCTGCTTTTGATACAACTGATCCAGTTAAGTAAATGTTTTAGAGCTCCCTGTTCTTTCAGATCAGCCATGATGTGACACTGACGAAGCCACTTTTTGCTCAGAATCACAATCTGACTTTTGACACTGTCACTTAGTTCTGATGCTATGTTTCCGACTATCACACTGCTATTTAGTGGGCAGTGTTCTGCTGAAAACTTGAGCCACTTTTGTTTTTTCTATTTAATACTTTTCTATCTCACATTTCGCAGAACTGAACAATGATGAATGATTTACATGAATAAGTGTCTGATGACTCAGATCCAGTTGAGTGTCATCTGTATGCTGCTTCAACAAAAGGGTACAATTCAAGAAAATGTGACCTTTTGTTCAAAAGAGTTAATATAGTCAGTGACACTAATCTGCTTTAGTTTGACTGAAGGCCAAGAAACAGAACAAAATCTGAAATATTTCATCTTCAGTTGGAACCACTTGTGTTTTTAAATGTTTCTAACACTCAGGCTTTCTGATTAGTTCCAGGTTAATATAAATCCATCCATTATCTATACACTGCTTAATCCTCACTAGGGTCGGTCAGAGTTGAAGGAAACCAGAAGAAGCTTCACTGACCATGAAGCTTCTTTACTCTGAGCTGGTCTTGGTGGGGGGGCTGGAGCCTATCCCAGCTGACCTAGGGCGAAGGCAGGGGACACATGGACAGGTCGCCAGTCTATCACAGGGCTACACTTAGAGACAGACAAACAAGCACACTCACATTCACACCTACGGACAATTTAGAATTACCAATTAACCTCAACATGTTTTTGGACTGTGTGGGAGGAAGCCAGAGAGAACCCACGCTGCACGGGGAGAACATGCAAACTCCATGCAGAAAGATTCCGGTGCCCCCACCGGGATGCGAACCGGCAACCTTCTTTCTACGAGGCAACAGTGCTAACCAACTGCACCACCTTGCAGTCTGTTAATATAAATAAAATATAAAATTTAACTCCACTGAATATCAAACACACAAAACACAACATATGTAAAGTTTTTAAAAACACAAGTTCCATACAGAAGGAAGTATACCAAGTAAACATGACATTGAAATGACATTGGACAGGGATGTAGTCACTTCTGTTGTATTCTGTATTGGCCGAGGACATTAAATACCAAACAACTGCTGTTTCCACTTTTAATTCTCTTTTGTCAGAAAACACTGAACAGTGGCTGGATTGATCTGGTACTAATGTTGTTTTGTAGTCTCATTGTTGTTTTCATGTTGTTGTTTTTATCCTCAGCTGTGTTGCTGATGTCATCATGGTGTGTTCAGGGTCTGCATGTGGACATATCTCCCAGAAGGCCTCTTTTCAAGGTGGGCACACGTCAGCAGCTGGTTTGTTCAGTTCAGCATTGTTTAACAGCGCCAAGCACCTCCTGGTCTTTGCCGGGGGACCGACCGCTGACCGCCTCCGTCAGCAGCAGCAGCACTCACTCCGTCGTGACCTTTGACCCTGTGATGACGGAGCATGAAGGATTGTGGCAGTGTAAAGTCAGCTGTGGAGAAGAAAGCAGACACATCAAAACCTCAGTGAAGGTTTACTGTGAGTTCATGTACAAATACAGCAGAGACAAACTGATCATTTTTCTTTTATTATGTTTGATCTTTTTGTTCCTGTGATTTCTTTTGTATCAATATGAGTTTAGAAATTGGCTTTATTGAAAACACAATGAAAGGAAGACTAAAACAGCTGGCAGCACTTTATGGTTTATGGGTCTGTAGAAAGTAATCCATCCATCCATTGTCTGTACACCACTTAATCCTCACTTGGGTCGCGGGAGGGCTGGAGTCTATCCCACCTGACTCAGGGTGAAGGCAGGTTTATCTAGACAGGTCGCCAGTCTATCACAGGGCTACACAGAGAGACAGACAACCAAGCACACTCACATTAACACCTACTTAAAATTTAGACTCACCAGTTAACCTCAATGTGTTTTTGGGCTGTGGGAGGAAACCGGAGAACCCAGAGAGAACCCACGCTGCACGGGGAGAACATGGAGACTCCGCACAGAAAGATCCCAGGCGTCTTAACCGGGATGTGAACCAGCGACCTTCTAGCTGCGAGGCGACGGTGCTAACCACCGAGCCACCTTGCAGCTTCGAGAAAGTAGTGACAGGGAAAATAAAGTTTAGCTTATTTAAAATATATATATATGTGTGTATGTATATATATATATATATATCAGAGGTTTGGACACACCTTCTCATCCATCCGTCCATTATCTTTCGTTTATCCGGGGTTGGGTCACGGGGGCAGTAGGCAGAGCAGGTCATTCTAGCCTTCCCTCTCCCTGGCGATGCTTTCCAGCTCTTCCTGGGGGATCCTGAGGCATTCCCAGGCCAACCAAGAGATAAAATTTCTCCAGCGGGTTCTGGGTCTGCCCTGGGGTCTCCTCCCAGTTGGACGTGTTTGGAAGACCTCCAGAGGAAGCCTCTCTGGAGGCATCCAAATCAGATGTCCGTACAACCTCAACTGGCTAATTTCAACGTGAAGGAGCAGCAGCTCTACTCCGAGCTCCCTCCGAATGTCAGAGCTCCTCACCCTATCTCTAAGGCTGAGCCCAGCCACCCTGCAGTGGAAGCTCATTTTGGCCACTTGTATCTGCGATCTCGTTCTTTCGGTCACGACCCAAAGCTCGTGACCATAGGTCAGGGTTGGGACGTAGATGGACTGGTAGATTGAGAGCTTCACCTTGCGGCTCAGCTCTCTCTTCACCATGATGGTCCGGTACAGCGCTCACATTACTGTTAACGCCGCCATTTTCCTATCACTCGTGAACAAGATCCTGAGATACTTAAACTCCCTCGTTTGAGGAAGCAACTTCCCCCCCACCCGGAGGTGGCAATCCACCCATTTCTGGCAGAGGACCGTGACCCCCTCAGGAGCTCAGCAAGCGTAAAGAGCGGGTCCACTGTTCCACGACTAGGACAAAATCCGCATTGCTCCTCCTGAATCCAAAGTTGCACAATTGGTCGGAGGCTCCTTTCCAGCACCCTAGAGTAGACTTTCCTGGGGAGATTGAGAAGTGTGATGCCCCGATAATTGGAACACACTCTCCGGTCCCCCTTTTTGAAAATGGGAACCACCACCCTGGTCTGCCACTCCACAGGCACCGTACCCAATGCCCACGCGACATTGAAGAGACGTGTCAGCCATGACAGTCCGACAATGTCCAGAGCCTTCAGCATCTCAGGGTGAATCTCGTCCACACCTGGTGCTTTGCCACCGAGGAGCTTCTTAACTACCTCGGTGACCTGTACCACAGGTATGGATGCAGCAACCCCCGAGTCTTCAGGCTCTGCCCCCTCAGCAGAAGATGTGATTACCAGGTTCAGGAGTTCCTCGAGGTGCTCCTTCCACCACCCAGTCTGGGTCAGCAGTTCTCCTCCCCAGCTGTACACAGTCTGGGTGGATCTCTACCTCCCCTTTCTGAGGCGTCGGAAAGTTTGCCAACCGAAATCCTTCTCCATAGCCTCCCCAAACTCCTCCCACACCTGTTTGGAGTTTTTGCTTCCACGACCACCACAGCTGCAGCCCATTTGGCCAGCCGTTACTTGCCTGCTGCTTCAGGAGACCCCTGGCAGCCAGGCCCGAAAGGTCTCCTTCTTCAGCCTGACGGCTTTCCTCACAACCGGTGTCCACTGGCGGGTTTTGGGGTTGCCGCCACAACAGGTACTGGTGACCTTCTGGCCACAGCTCCTAACGGCTGCTTCTGCTATGGAGGCTTTGAACATGGCCCACTCTGACTTCATGTCCCCAACCTCCCCCGGGATGCAGGAGAAACTCTTCCGGAGGTGGAAATTGAAAACCCCAATGTTCCCAGTTTACCCACACTACACATTTGGGTTTACCATGTCTGTCCAGCAGCCTTCCCCGCAATCGGATCCAACTCACCACCTAGGTGGTGATCAGTTGACAGCTCTGCTCCTCTCTTCACCCAAGTGTCCAAAACATATGGCTACAGATCTGATACTACAACTACAAACTCAATCATCAACCTTTGGCCTAAGGTACTCTGGTACCAGGTCCACTTATGAGCAACCTTATGTTTGAGCATGGTGTTTGTTATGGCCAATCCGTGGCTAACACAGAAGTCCAATAACAAAATCCAGGTCAGGTTCAAATCAGACAGGCCGTTCCTCCCAATCACGCCCCTCCAGGTTTCAACGTCATTGCCCACATGAGCACTGAAGTCCCCCAGGAGGACTATGGAGTCCCCAGGCAGCAGCCCTTCCAGGACACCACCCGGTGACTCCATGAAAGGCCAGATACTCTAAACTGCCGTTTGGTGCATAAACACAAACGACAGTCAGAGTTTTCCCCTCTGCAACATGCAGTCGCAGAGAGGCGACCCTCTCACTCTTTGGGGAGAACTCTAACATGGCGGCACTCAGCACTGAGTATGCCCATACTCCTCTCACCGTGGGAAACTCCAAAAAAGGAGAGAGTCCAACCCCTCTCCAGGAGTTTGGTTCCAGAGCCCTTGCTGTGCATGGAGGTGAGCCCGACTATATCTAGCTGGTAACTCTCCACCTCCTGCACCAGCTCAGGCTCTTTCCCTGCCAGTGAGGTGACATTCCACGTCCTCAGAGCTCGTCTACGTCACCAGGGGTCGGTACGCCATAACACCCACTCCTGCCTACCACCCGGTGGGCATAGCACCTGACCCCGATCCTCTGCCCTGAGGGTGGTGAGCCCCCCCTTTGAGCTCCCCACCCTAGGCCTGGCTCCAGGAGGGTGCCCCGGTCTCCCTATTCCGGGTGAGGTGGCAGCTTTGCTTCTCTTGTTCTTCATCAGGACTTCTGAATCGCTCTTTGTCTGGTCCCTCCCCCAGAACCATTTTGCCTTGGGAGACCCTACCAGGGGCTAGTGCCCCGGACAACATAGCTCCCAGGATCACAGGAACACTCAAACCCCTCCACTGTGATAAGGTGGCGATTCATCAGGGGGCATCTTCTCATTCAAGAGTTTTTCTACATTTTTACTGTGTTTTACCACTTTCTTCAAAACTGCAGACATCAACACTATGACATAACCTATTGTAAATTATGTTGTAAGAAAAAATCAAAAGAAAAAATCTTTTAGATTCTGCTGAAGTAGTCTTGATGACAGCTCTGCACACTGTCGTCATTACCTGAAGCAGCTCTATGAGGTCATCACCTGGAAATGTTTCTAATTAACAAGTGTCAAAAGTTAACTAGTGGAATTTCTTCCTTCTTGATGAGACCATTAGCTGAGTTGTGCTGAGGTAGTGTTGTTATACAGCAAACAGCCCTGGTCAGCTACTGCAGTAATCCAGATGAGATGCGACGTGGGCAGCTGTGCCTCAGGTGGCAGAGCGGGTTGTCTTTTATCAAGCATGGTTGGTGGTTCAAAGTTGCTCCTGATGGCAGGCAGCACCTTGCATGGCAGCATGTGTATGAATGGGAAACACTGTAAAGCACCCTGAGGACCACTCAGGTAGAAAGGAGATATATAGGTGTAGGCCATTTACATTAATAAAAAAAACATATTCTCAACATAATATTCTCAACATGATTTGAGAAAATAAATTACAATAAAAAGTACATGAAATTACAGCATTGAATAATAAAAACAATGAGAACGTTAATGCTAAAAGCACCTCTTAAACTTTCTGCTCGACCATTTGGTAGACCATCACATTTTGACTCCCTATATCTTGTTGAAAAACGTGTTGTACTTAATTCCACCTGTTTCAGCCATCTCTACCATTAGGTTGAGGTATGTTGTCATAAAAAAGTCCACATTAAGTAAAACATTTTTTTCAATCAGATATAGGGAGTCAAAAACGTTGGGTTACTTAACGTAATCCCTGGTTCTTTGATAACAGAGTGAGGTGTTTCACTATGGGAATTGCCCTTGGCGTGACCAACTACGGAAGCTCCAATGACACAACGTCTGTCTGTGACAGACCGGTTGAGCTGCGCTCTAGGCTACGCCTCCTCCTATTGCTATGGCCAACCGACCACTCCTCACTCATTCTGGACAGATTTCTTTCCGTGTCCATGCAAGGAGGGATGTGTTGGTGAAACACCTCACTCTGTTATCAAAGAACCAGGGATTACGTTAAGTAACCCAACGTTCTTTTTCTAACTTCGCTCGGTGTTTCACTATGGGAGATATGGCCTACTCCCGGATTGCATAAGCACCCCGAAGCCATGAGAAACAGGGAAGGACACTAGGTTGGACCTAAATCCATACTCCCAGCACTGCGTGGGCCAGCGAGGGCTGAGCAACATCCAGCCTATAAAATCGCACAATTGTATTTGGTGTGGCCCAACTGGCGGCAGCACAGATGTCCTGAACTGACACCCCTTTAAACAGGGCCCATGACGTGGCCATGCTCCTGGTGGAATGCGCTCGCACCCCCGTGGGTGGCTGCGCACCTCTACACCTGTAGGACAGTTTTATAGTCTCAACGATCCAGTGGGACAACCTTTGCCGTGACATAGGTTTCCCTTTGCGAGAACCAACCCAAGATATAAACAGCTGTTCAGATCTCCTGAAGCTCACTGTTCTGT